GGTTGCCCAATCTCTTCTTAAAAACCTCCGGCATTGGAGCAAGCCATTCCACTGGTTAATTGTTCTGTCAGGAAATTACTCCTGAGTTCTAGGTTGCTTCTCTCCTTGATTAGTTTCCATCTGTTGATTCTATTCTGTTCTGTTCTATTCTATTCTATTTTCATTCTATTCTACTCTACTCTACTCTACTCTATTTTCATTCTACTCTACTCTATTTTCATTCTATTCTACTCTACTCTACTCTACTCTATTTTCATTCTACTCTACTCTACTCTATTCTATTCTATTCTATTTTCATTCTATTCTACTCTACTCTATTTTCATTCTACTCTGCTCTACTCTACTCTATTTTCATTTACTCTATTCTACTCTACTCTATTCTATTTTCATTCTACTCTACTCTACTCTACTCTACTCTATTCTATTCTATGTGGACTTTCGGATTGGATCCTCAAAAGTGTTCTCCTGCATTCCTCCTGGCCTTGCCCAGCTCAAAGAATTAGAATTAGGATTAACAGTTGGAAGGGATCTTGTAGATCATCTAGTCCAACTACCCCACCCAAGCAGGAGACGCTACACCATTTCTGACAGATGCCAGTCCAGTCTCTTCTTGAAAACGTCCAGTGATGAACAACATCTCCCAACTTCTGAAGGCAACTTCTGTTCCGCTGGTTGATTGGTCTTACTGTCAGAAATGTTCTCCTTATTTCCAGGTTGAATCTCTCCTTGATCAGTTTCCATTGGTTGTTCCTTGTCTGGCCTTCAGGTGCTTTGGAGAATAGGTTGAACCCCCTCCTCCCCCCTCCCCCTCCAACGACAGGCCCTCAAATATGTCTCCCCTGACAAGTTCACTGTGAACCCAAGATGGTCTGGGGTAACTTGGTGTTCTCCTGGAAGCATCAAAAATCCCACATTCCTTTCCCCATCTAACCATGTAACTTGTTCTTGGCTTTTGCAATGTTTTGTGTTTTGTGGTGCTCCCGCAAAGGGATGTTTTCTCTGTTAGAGGCAGCACATATTTTTTTGTGGAATCACATTTCCCTGCAGGATTCTCTCTCTCTCTCTCTCTCTCTCTCTCTTTTTTTTCCCCCCCTGTCTGGTCTGATTTCTAAGGCTTGTAAACTCTTAAAAACCGTTTCAAATATTTGTATAAATAGGAACTCTCCGGTGTCGGTTGAGACTGAAGGAACACATCCCCCTCCAGGAAAAAAAGGCCACTCGGATCCACAGACAACATCTCATCTGTTGTGGAACCCAAAGATTGTGTCTAACATCAAGCCAAGAATTTCCTCCAGGGTTCAGGCTGCCCAGACGGGTGATTGGGTCTGTTATAAATCTTTTGATGTGGCAGACTCATTTACAATTGACCTTCAGAACCCAGGACATGCCAGCCACGGACTGTGCAGAATGTAAACTATATCTCATCCTAAATTTGGAGCCGCAGAGCTAATGGTTTTGCATTTTCAAAAGCCAGGGCCAAGCCTGTCACTATGCAGAAAGACATCTCTGCACTTTCAAGGGTTAAAGGCGACACCAGGGCCACCTAAACCATGAAGATGTTGACATGCAGAAATGTGGCTGTTGCACGGCCTGTTTTGCACCCCCATAGATTGGTCTTCTGGAGAAGTCTCGCGAAATGTATTCTCTGCTTCAAGTTGGAAGGAATCGGGCAACTGATGCAACGCAACTCTAAATGTGCCATAGAACAGAATAGAGCTGGAAGGGCCCTTGGAGGTCTTCTAGTCTAGCCCCCTGCTCAAGCAGGAGAACCTATACCATCTCAGACAGGTGATTGTCTAGCCTCTTCTTAAAAATCTCCAGTGATGGAGCGCCCACGATTTCTGGGGGTAAGCTGTTCCACTGGTTGATTGTCCTCACTGTCAGGAAGTTTTTCCTTCATTCCAGGTTGCTTCTCTCCTTGATCAGTTTGCAACCATTGTTTCTCATCCTTCCCTCTGGTGCTTTGGTGAACAACCAGGCCCCCTCTGCCTTGTGGCAGCCCTTCAGATACTGGAACACTGCTATCATGTCTCCCTTATTTCTTCTTTTCTTTAGACTGACCAAACCCAAGTCCCACAGCCGTTCTTCGTATGTTATATTCTCCAGGCCTTTGATCATCTTAGTTCAGATGTTTTGCTGGATATTTCCGTAGCTACTAAGTTTGATGCAACGTTATGGAGGCCGCTATTTTAACCTTCACTTCTCCTTCCCTACTAATTAATCCTCAAAGGTTTGCGAAGGGTGCAGTGAAGATGATTTTATACGCTGGGGAAGATTTCTCTAATCATAGATCTTCCTCTGCTTATCATTGGTGGATTTCAACATGCCCCCAAATAATGGAACACAGAGAGAGAGACAGAGAGAGGGAGGGAGGGAGAGAAAACTAGGGATGTATTGTTTTGGCTTGCCAAAATGGCATTAATCCTCTTTGTGAAGTTTCTACTACTAATAATTAACTGCTCAATGCTTGAAGGGGGGGAACGGTTCCCCATCCAAGTCTCAGAACTTCTAATACTTGTTGACATATGCATTGGCCATTTGTTTTGCCGTCTTCGTGCTGGTCTCAGCTCAGTTGGAAAGTGTGTTGGCTTCTCCCTCATGAACACCCTCACGCTTGGGTGGACGGCTCGCCAGGCCTTAATTGTGCAATCCGTGGGGCTCCTGCCATTCCCAAAAGGAAAAGGGAGCGGAGAACTTTGACGAGCGAGCATTGCAATCATGAGCCAACACATTGCCCCGACTCCAGTTTTCTTTGTAGCTTTTTTTGGGGGGGGGGGTACGCCTATCACATGTTTTGGCTTGTTCCAGTTTAAAACAATAAAATAAACTGGACCCTGCTTTAAAAATTATGGGCAGGTCACCACTTTTATTTACTGCAAGCCTACGGCTGGAAAGATTTAGCAGAAGGTTAAAGTGACCTGGAATCAGCTCTAGCCATCTGCTTTTAAAACTCTACAGTTTCTGGGTAGGCTATTTGTCCTGGTTTGGGGACCATTCCTAACTTTTAAGTTCTTCTAAACTGGGGTGGTTAGATAGGGACCCTGTCGTCTCCTTTCTCATCCTCCTAACACAGCTTTGCACTTTAGCATGGATTCAGATAGCCGAGAAGTAATTTTGAAATCACTGCCAGCGCTCCAGTTGTAGGAAGCAGTTGGGTTGCAAAGTGGGAACTGATTACGGATGAAGGCGAATCTACGTGTCCCAGGATAATGTTGCGGGATCCAATCTGGGTCAGTCACCGGGACCAGAAGGCTTTGTCTTCCAAGCTTTCGGACTTCTGCTTCTCTTCTGCTAGACAGAAATTCTCTGAAGATGGGATCCAGCTAGAGTCCCCAAAACTCGGAAGACAAAATCTCTGATTTCGTTGACCGACTCAGATTGGATCCTACAACATTATCCTGGGACACGTAGATTTTACTTTCATTCGAGAGGGATGATAGATAGATAGATAGATAGATGATAGATAGATAGATAGATAGATAGATAGATAGATAGATAGATAGATAGAGTCAGACAGAGACAGAGACTGAGAAAGATGATAGATAGATAGATAGATAGATAGATAGATAGATAGATAGACAGACAGACAGACAGAGATGATAGATAGATAGAGACAGACAGACAGATAGAGTCAGACAGAGAGACATGATAGACAGACAGACTCTCGCACGGCATGCTTGATTTGTTGATTTACTGTTTCCTAATTGTGCCAAGCTGCCATTCATAGGAGGAAATGCATTCTTGTGGTTTTGGTGAATAATGTATAAATATCTATTTTGTATCACAGTGGCTAGAAAAGAGGCATTCCCCCCCCCCTTTATAGAGTAGGTAAAGAGTATACAATTAAATGTCCCTTGTTATCAGAAAGCTGAACTGAAATTTGGAGAAGATTAACCACTGGATATTTCACAAAGATTGCACAATTTTCTCTCTCGTGCACAACCGAACACAGACACACACACACACACACACAGACACACACACACACACACACATGTACACAGAGTGAAAGAGACAGAGAAAAGAGACAGAGAAACTGAGAGAGAAGAGAGAGAGAGAGAGAGAGAGAGACAGAGACTGCTATAGTAGATCATAAATAAAATGGTCCCTGGGCTTTACATCTAGGTTAACAGGTGGAAATGTTATATTGGGGCAGCTTTTCTCCCTCTTTTTGAAAATTCAACCTTTGATAAACACGCGTCATCCTTTTCTCCTTTGGTTGTCTAGCCAATCTGTAGCCATAGTAGTGGGGTTTTTTTTTCCATTTGTCTGTTTTCTTTTGTTTTTGGGAGAGAAAGGAAAAGAAAGACAGGTTTTACTGCCCACCTCAAAGAGAGAGAGAGAGAGAGAGAGAGAGAGCTCCTTCTCATCTATCTCCCCCTCTTCCTCCTCTTTCTCCTTCTCATCTATCTCCTTCTTCTTTCTCCTCATCTATTTCCTCCTTCTCTTTCTCCTTCTCATCTACCTCCTCCTTCTCACTCTCCTCCTCCCTTTTCTCTTTCTTCTTCTTCTCATCTATCTCCTCCTCCTCTTTCTCCTTCTCATCTATCTCCTTCTTCTTTCTCACCTATTTCCTTCTTCTCTTTCTCTTCTCTTTCTCCTCCTCCTCCTCCCCCCCACATTTTTCTCCATTGCTCTACATCAGATGGAAGAAGAAGGGGAAAGGGTTGATGGACGGATGGATAGGAACTGATCTGCCCCCCCCCCCAATTCTATCCTGTTCAGCCAGAGACCTTGTCTTTTCACACCATAAGCTCTTCTTAAGCACGCTTGGTCTTTTCCCCTATTTTTACGCATTACATTGGTTTTTCCCTTTCCAGCCCTGAGCAGTGGTCTAGGACTTGAAACAATGGAGCAGGGTGAAGCCCAGATCATGACTTGCCATGCTTATATCTTCTCTGAATGAAACCTCTTCCTCTGCTTGATGCTGAAAGAGCCCTCCAGAAAGAAAATGTTCCTCCAGTCCTTTATTCCTTCTTGATGGGTATCTTCTCTTCCAGATTTACCCTCTACGCTGTGGACACTCGTGGGAGGCATTCTGAACTCAGCACCATCACGCTAAGAACGGCCTGTCCGCTGGTGGATGACAGCAAAGCAGAAGGTAAAGGCTTTGTTAACAAAATCTGGCTTGCAAAGGGCTCCTAACCGCGTCTTAGTTTTGCCTGAATTTCCGGAGTTTCTTACGTAGCCATGCTGAAACATTTCTGGGATGTAGAGTCTAGAGCAATTCCCCCCCCCCAAATCGGACAACTTGAAGATGTGTGTCAACCCCCAGGATCCTTAGCAACCGGGAGAATGGATAAGTGGCAATCCCTCAGCCGCCTTGTACACGAATCAGCTAGCTTTCATCTGGTGCCTTGGAACTTCTCTGTGTTTCTTTTTCTTTAATAGAAGGGAATTTTTTTAAAAAATAAAATAAAATAAAATCTGATCAATTAGACTCAGTTGAACGGAATATAACAGAATAAGAGAGTCAAAAGGGACCTTGGAGGTCTTCTAGTCCAACCCCTTGTTCAAGCAGGAGTGTCAAAATTCCAATGGAGGAACCCAACCAAGTAACACAGCTGAGACATTCCAATCTCTAATGCAAAACTTTATACTATATATAGTATAAAGAATAGAATAGAATAGAATAGAATAGAATAGAATAGAATAGAATAGAATAGAATAGGAATGAATAGAATAGAATAGAATAGAATAGAGAATGAAAGAATTGAGTAGAGTAGAGTAGAGTAGAGTAGAATAGAATAGAATAGAATAGAATAGAATAGAATAGAATAGAATAGAATAGAATAGAATAGAATGGAATTACAGAATAGAATAGAAATACAGAATAGAATGGAATGGAATGGAATGGAATAGAATAGAATAGAATATAGAATAGAATATAGAATAGAATAGAATAGAATGGAATAGGAGTAGAATAGAATAGAATAGAATAGAATAGAATAGAATAGAATAGAATAGAATAGAATAGGAGTAGAGTAGAATAGGAGTAGAATAGAAATACAGAGTAGAGTAGTGTAGAGTAGAATAGAATAAGAGTAGAATAAGAGTAGAATAGAATAGCAGAGTTGGAAGGGACCTGGGAGGTCTTCTAGTCCAGCCCCCTGCTCAGACAGGAAACCCTATCCTATTTCAGACAAATAGCTGTCTAGTCTCTTCTTAAAAACTTCCAATATTGAGTGAATCACTTCAACACAGGTGAAGGGAAAACCAGCTCTGGTTATTTCCGCGCCCTTGATTGCTATATTAAAAGTGGAGAAGCCTCCCTTCCCTCATTAGCGCAGGTCACGCTGTCCAATTATAAGTCAGGGAATGATTATGGGACAATGACTTTAGTTCTCGGTAAACATATCTTGTAGCCAACTTGATTCTCAACAGCTGGCGGTCCACTGGTTAATTGTCCTCACTGTCAGGAAGTTTCTCCTTCGTTCTAGATGGCTTCTCTCCTTGGTTGGTTTCCATCCATTGCTTCTCCTTCTGCCTTCAGGTGCTGTGGAGAATAGGAGAACCATAGAACGAAAAACCGATCGTGGTGTGATGTTCTACTCCATGGTCCCCCCGCTCAGCTGTGTCCTCTCTGCTTGCTTTCCAGAGATAGCCGATAAGATCTACAACCTGTACAATGGCTACACCAGTGGGAAGGAGCAACAGACTGCCTACAACACCCTTATGGAGGTCTCTGCTTCCATGCTCTCCCGGGTCCAGCATCACTACAATTCCCACTACGAGAAGTTTGGGGATTTCGTCTGGCGTAGCGAGGATGAGCTCGGTCCCAGGTAATCCTTTAACCCTGAGTCTGAATTCTTGTGGTCTTCTTTACCATTCTTAGGACAGGATAGAATGCCACCAGGTAAGTGAGCTTCTGACCTTTCCACTCCTCATAAAGGTTGAGAAATTCAAACTACTTGGGAGATTCCTTAGAGTCTTTCCCTCCTGCGTTTGGTTGTCTTCTTGTAGATGTTTCATGACCCAACTGAGGAACATCATCAAGGGCCTGATGATGTTACCTAGTTGGGTTATGAAACATCTGCAAGAAAACCATCAAGCTCAGAGCATGAAGCACCCCCCACCTTATTCCTCCTCCTCCTCCTCCTCCTCCTCCTCCTCCTCCTCCTCCTCCTCCTCCTCCTCCTCCTCCTCCTCCTCCAAAACTCACTTCCTTTTAGCACTGCTGATGTTACCTAGACAGAAATCATCGTGGGCGCTCCATCCCTGGAGGTTTTTAAGAAGGGACTAGACCAGGGGTAGGCAACCTTGGCTCTTTTATGACTCGTGGACTTCAACTCCCAGAATTCTTGAACCAGCCATACTGGCTTAGGAATTCTGGGAGTTGAAGTCCACGAGTCATGAAAGAGCCAAGGTTGCTTACACCTAGACTAGACAGTCACTTATCTGAGATGGAATAGGTTCTCCTGCTTGAGAGGGGGGCTGGACTAGAAGACCTCCAAGGTCCCATCCAGTTCTATTCTATTCTATTCTATTCTATTCTATTCTATTCTATTCCTTAATTCTATTCTATTCTATTCTATTCTATTCTATTCTATTCTATTCTATTCTAAAGTTTATTTGGGTTTATCCGTTTCCTTATTCCTTTCATCACAAACTGGGAACCTGGAGCCTGGCTTCTAACTCTCCCTTCATCATCAGAGAAGACTCCCAATTGACAAGGTGGAACGGAGATGGCCTTGCTGTGTGACTCCCTCATTTGACCTTCCTTCCTTGACCTGCCTTTTTTTTTTTAACAACTTCATTAGGGTCTCTCCTTTTTTCAAATTTCCCCCTTTTTTTGGGAGCAGAGCTGGTAGAAGGTCAAGGTCAGACATTAGGGCCAATTTCATCTCCAGGTTTGGACAAACGCCCGACCTCCTCCTCCGTTGGGAGAGCTTGGAGAGGAAGCAGCCTCTGATTTATGACATCCAACCGGTTGCCCTTTGAATTTATCCTGCCCTGAGAGGTACCTCTTTCCTCTCTTTTTTTTAACTTCCTCTTCCCACCTTTCCCTCTCTTTGTTCCCCTCTTCCTTAGGGGAAGATATCAGCCAAAGATAAGTCTACTCTTTAGACATGACTTCATTAACCTTTTCACACAAGTGACTCACATCGGCAGCTTGGCCTAAATACCCCGCAGTAATCTGGGGTTTTTTTTGGCTGGAAGCAGATTTGTCGTTTAGGAATCTGTACCTTCCCTACAGATTTATAAGATGCCGCTGCTAATTTCCTGGCTGCTTCTCCCAGCCAACTGGCTGATGGCTGTTTCCCACGTGCCGCACCCAAAGGCTATCATCAGAGTTTCTAGTGTTGGGGGAACAGACTGGTTCAAAAAGCTATGTTGGGTGAGATGGCTCAGAATTCAAAAATGCATCCAGCTGTGTTGAAATCCAGTTGGACAGAAGAATTCCAAGGCCACAACTCTCGACTCGTTTTAATTCTACTGTATTTTTCCCCCCAACTAGCAGAATAATAGAATAATAGGGTTAGAAGGGATCTTGGAGGTCACCTAGTCCAACCCCCTGCTCAGGCAGGAAACCCTATACCATTTCAGACAAATAGCTGTCCAGTCTCTTCTTAAAGGCCTCCAGTGATGGAGTACCCACAACTTTGGAAGGCGAGCTTAATTGTCCTCACTGTTAGGAAGTTTCTCCTTAATTCTAAGTTGCTTCTCTCCTTGATGAGTTTCCATCCATTGTTTCTTGTCCTGCCCTCAAGTGCTTTGGAGAATAGCTTGACTCCCTCTTCTTTGGGGCAGCTCCTTAGATATTGGAAGATTGCTATCATGTCACCCTTGGTCCTTCTTTTCACTAAGCTAGACATACCCAATTCCTACAACCGTTCTTCATATGTTTTCGTCTCCAGGCCTTTAATCATCTTATGGGTAAAAGCAGTTGGGTTTTGCTTATTTCTTTCCTAATGGGAAAATTAAAAAGAGCCAAATGTTTGTGGCTGTATGGAGGGGACGAAGAGGGATTCCATGTAGCAGTTCCAAAGCTCCAGTGATTCTGGATGAAGTCCTTGATGCTCTCAAAGCTTAGTGGAATTTTTTATTTTGCAAATGTTTCATCCACTGATTTTGTCCACAGTAGTTGGGTGATGAAACATCTGCAAGAAAACCACCAAGCTTAGGGAGCATCATGGGATCCATAGCCCTCCTCCACCACCACCACCACCACCTCCTCCTCCTCCTCCTCCTCCTCCTCCTCCTCTCCACAAACCCTACTCCCTTCTAACACTGATGATGTTACAAAACTGGCTCAGGAAATGTCTGCAAGAAAACCTCCGAGCCCAGAAAGCACTAACGACACCGCAGTTCATCCCTCGGCTACAAATATTCTTTTCTATCGGTAGTTCTGGATGAGGTTGATAAGCAGTCGTGCTTAGGTTGTTGTTGTTTTAAAAATAAAATACAATCAGTGGTGCAGAACTGGACCCTTGAATTTTCCCACCTTCCTATTTTGAGCTTGATTGTTTTGCTACCATGGATTCGCCCGGTTTCTCCCACAACGTAACAGTGACCAAAAATGGCAGTTTCTCTTCCTTCCTATTCTTCTTTCCTCTTCCTCTTCGCCTTCCACTGAGTCTCAAGTTGGTTTTTCTCCCTCCTCCTCCTTTTCCTCCTCCTCCTCCTCCTTCTCCTCCTCCTCCTCCTCCTCCTCCTCCTCCTCCTTCTAGAAAAGCACATCTCATCTTACGACGGCTGGAGAGAGTCAGCAGCCACTGTTCCAGTTTGCTGCGCAGTGCCTACATCCAGAGCCGGACAGATACCATGCCCTACTTATTTTGTCGAAGCGAGGAGATTCGGTCTCCCGGCATGATCTGGTACAACGTCCTCAAAGACACCAAAATCGCCTGTGAAGAGAAGATGGTCTCTGTCTTGCGCAACCTGTACGGCGACTCCAAGGGACGATGAAAGACCTGTCTGGCTAAGCAAGGGACGATGGAGCACAGGCATCCCCGGCTGAAGAACACGTGTCAACCTTCCATTTGACGGACGGCAGATCAGCTAGACAAACCACAGCCAGCGGAGGGACCAGCCAGATCCCTCCCCCCTCCCCCTTTGATTTTAGGTTCTCTTTTTTTAAATAATAATAATAACAAGGATCATTTAAGAAGGATGTCCATTCTTTTGCTCCGTCCAAGGGGAGGGGGGGGAGAAAAAATAAATAAAGGTGTCCTCCGTTTCAAACGTGTTTCTCCTAACTACATCCTTCAATGGAGAGCTAGGAAGACAACTCAGCTGGTGGGGGTGAGGGCCCACAAGTGGTGGAAACCAGCCGTACTTGGGAAGGGGGGCAGTTGGTGACCCGCCTTAGGTTTTTTGGGGGGGGGGGTTGCTCTGAGGGACTGAGACTTGGGTAACATGCAAGAAGTCGGAAGGACCTACGTTTTGGGAAAGCCAGCATCCTTGAAATAGCCACTGAGCGTGTAACAGCAACCTGGAGAAAGAATTTTGCTAGCGGGCCATTACGAGAAGAGTGGCGCAAATTCAATGCACATTGCGTGTCAAACAAACAACAAAAAAAGGCTCCTTGGGTGATTGTCGCTATCAGTATCCTGACAGGTTGTCCTGTGCATTAAAACATTCATATTTACTTCCAACTTCCTGGCCTAACTGTCATTTCTTGAGTCATGTCAGTAATTCTTCCCCACTGCTTCCTTATCGCCTCTTTTAACTTCACTCAAGTTTCTTCTCTCTCTCTCTCTCTCTCTCTCTCTCTCTCTCTCTCTCACACACACACACACACACACACACACACACACACACACACAAACACCTTTGGTAAGAGAGGCGGTGTTCTATCTACTACAGGTAAGTCCTCGGCTTACAGCCACATCTGAGCCACAAAGTTTCGGTTGCTAAGCGAGACTGTTAAGCAGGTTTTGCCCCCATTTTGCGACCTGTCTTGTCAGAGTTGTGACGTTAGTAAGCTGGTTGTTAAGTGGATCTGGCTCCCCCCATGGACTTTGCTTGTCAGAAGGTCACAAAAGGGGATTGCGTGACACACAACCATACACACACACACACACACACACACACACACACGAATGCTGCGGCCGTCATAAATATAAGTCAGCTGCCACAGTTCTTAAGGGCGTCACTGCAATTGTTAAGATAATTAAGTGAATTTGGCTTCTCCGTGCACTTTGCCTGTCAAGAGGGTTGCAGGTGTGCAACTGTTGTAAGTACATGCCAGTTTCCAAGCCTCTGAAGGTAAATCACATGACCCTGGGGATGCTGCAACGGTCCTAAGCCTGAAAAACAGTCCCTTTTTTTCAATGCTGGTGAAACTTTGAACGGTCAATATTGTATAGTTGTAAGTCAAGAACCACATGTATACATTCCACGTGTTCTTAAATTCTACCAGTTCCATATTTTTAAATGATACCTTTGTGGCTTTTTCACACATCAAACTGATATCAGCAAAGGTATCTTGAGTCTGGGCATGCTTCCGAATATCTGGATCGAATTCAGTTTGATTCAGTTTGATATGGATGCCCTAGAAAAATCAGATCTGCTTTCCAGATGGCTTTCTGCGCCCAAATGAAATTGGATCCGAATAGAATAGAATAGAATAGAATAGAATAGAATAGAATAGAATAGAATAGAATAGAATAGAATAGAAGCAATGTAGAATAGAATAGAACAGAACAGAACAGAACAGAATACAATAGAATAGAATAGAATAGAATAGAATAGAATAGAATAGAATAGAATAGAATAGAATAGAATAGAGCTGGAAGGGACCTTGGAGGTCTTCTAGTCCAGTGGTTCTTAACCTGGGCAATATTGCCCCCCAGGGGGCGATTTCATTTTTCAGGGGGGCGAAGGAACGAAAAGGGGGCGATATGGGGGCAATGGAGTGAGAAGTTTTGGGGACACTTTTGAGACTTTTTCGTACAATGAATGGCTTTATATCTGTCGTCCAAAAACATCAAATCACTTGCTATTAGTGGATTGAATTGTGTTTTCAAATGTCCCTCCAGCTAGCTTCAGTACAGAACGCCGTACATATGTGAATACTCATTGCTTATCTTCATGCGCGTTGCACAGCAGCCTCTACCCATACAGTGGCGTGCCATTAGCCAGAATATGGGATATATGGGAAAAAGACTGGAAATAAATTATTTGCATCGATATGTCCTGATGACAATTTTAAAGAAAACAAAAAAAGTGTTTGCATAAATTGAAAAATTATTTCCTATGTTGTGATTGAGAGGTTATGTTGGGGGAGGGGGGGCGATGACAACTTCCTCATTGGCTCAAGGGGGCGATTCGTTCAAAAAGGTTAAGAACCACTGTTCTAGTCCATCCCCCTGCTCAAGCGGGAAACCCTATAGCATCCCAGACAAATGGTTGTCCAATCTCTTCTCTAAAAAATCTCCAGTGATGGAGCACCCACAACTTCTGGAGGCAAGCTGCTCCACTGCCTAATTGTCCTCACTGTTAGGAAGTTTCTTCTTAATTCCAGGTTGCTTCTGTCTTTGGTCAGTTTCCAACCATTGCTCCTCGTCCTGCCCTCTGGTGCTTTGGAGAATAACATGATTTCCCTCCCCTCTTTGTGGCAGCCCCACAAATACTGGAACACTGCTATCACGTTGCCCCTGTTTTTTCTTTTCTTTAGACTAGCCAAACCCAATTCCTGCAGCCATTGTTTATATGTTTTAGCCTCCAGGACTTGGATCATCTTAGTTGCTCTTCTCTGAACTTTTGGGGATAGTATGGTAAGATTTGGGGTGGACGGGACAATGACATCTCCTTTCTTTTAACTGACCAAAATTGGGCAGATGGTTTGATTTCCCCCAAGCATCTTTGTCAGCAATTTGCCTTTTCCGTTATGGTCCCAGCTTCTCACTGAAAGCCAGAAGACGACACAGGTAAGATACGATCCCTTGATCTGCGGGTGTCACCGCCAAATCACGCTGAAGGAGGTAAGAATTCCATTTTTAACCCTTGGGATGGAGAAATCAACTCTACCTAGTTCTTCTATCTACTACTTGGATATTCTGGGTGTGTTCACACAGTACATCAGATCGGACAAAAATGAACTCCAAGAGTTGTGTTAGGAAACCCAGCCAACATCTAGCACGATGTGTAACCATCCCACTAAGCCATGACACGGTTTGTTCAGACACAATTGAGCAGATTGGAGACCAATTTCTGTTGCTCATTCTTCAGGAAGTTTCACCTCGTTTTACGACCTTCCTTGCCAGCATCTCCATGCACTGCAACAACACGCTTGTTAAGTGAAACTGGCTACTTCCAGTCGCAAAAGGGGATCACGTAACCTGGGACGCTGCAGCCATTGTAAATATGAGTATCTGAATTTTGATCACATGACACACACACCCCCCAGAGATGCTGTAAGGGTAAAAATTGTTCTAAGTCACCTTTTTCAAACCGTCACTAAATGGATTGTTGTGAGTCAAGGACTACTTATAATAATAGGGCTGGGAGGGACCTTGACATGTGACATGAACACAGACATTCTGATTTGTAAAGTCATTTTTAGGTTTACGTGAGTTGTGTGAATCCAGCCTCTGTGCCAAAATCTACTAAGCCAAGGCTTGTTTCTACAAGGTAACACTCTGGAGGGGGGAAGGTTTGCTGTCTACTCTTGACAGGGGGAAAAAATCTTGACGTTGTCTTGCAGTTGCTACTTAGTTTTTGAAGTCAAACATAGGGTGAAATAAAGCATGTGGTGTCCTTGTGTTGTTATTTTTTTGCCTGTGCTGAATAGCACCAGGTGATGTTCTTCAATGCATTCAGCACACCTGTTCAGGTGAACTAAGTCTTTTCTGCAACTCCTACTCTGGATTCAAGGTGTTAATTGCAAAGGATTTTTTTTTTTCCCTTTCTCACTGGGGTTGGGATGCCTGCAACACGTGTTGAGTGTGGCTGTTGGAAGAAATGCTTAAACCAGCTTCTGTTCTGACTTGTGAAACAACTTACCAGTTTGCTTGGATTCCTGAAGCTTCTGAAAGATCCTTAGAAGCCACAAGAATGTTATTTTGTCTCTCTGTCTTCCCTGGAACTTCAGAGAAGAACAACTACGGGGCAGCCTTCCATTGACGGTGAGTAATTTATGCATTTGATATCCCTGTAAAGTGAAGCCCGAATTACTGTATAGTTAAACTTCTCCTTCAGGGGTTTTCCAACTTGGCCCTTTTATGACTTGTGGACTTCAACTCTGAGAAGTTGAAGTCCACAAGTCATAAAAGGGCCAAGTTGGAAGACCCCTGTTCTAGTTCATTTCCCAAGTTTGTTCTGGTCTTTTGATGCTTTTGTCTGAATGCAGAAATCATAAGTTAGCCTGTCTTTGTTCTATTGTTTGGTAGGCATTCAAGAAAGATTGTGAAATGAGCAACTAGAAAGATAAATAAAGTCTGTTCCTCTAAACTATAAGGCTGACTATTAACAGGAATAAAAGAAGTTTAGGTCAAGGTTGTCAGATATCTGTTAAACCCAAAGTATAAAAAGCAGAATAACAAGAGTTGGAAGACAAATGGCTGACCAATCTCTTGTTAAGCTTGATATAAATGTAATAAGACCAAGCAGAAAGATAACAGTAATAGAGACCCTTAGATAACAGAAGGGACCTTGGAGGTCATCTAGTCCAACCCCCTGCTCAGGCAGGAAACCCTATACCATTTCAGACAATTGGTTGTCCAGCCTCTTCTTAAAAACTTCCAGTGTTGGAGTAACCTGTATGGGTTGGAAACATGCTCATTTTAACGCGCGGAGGAAATTCTCCAGAGATTTTTGCCCCCTCTTGATTGATAGAAGTGTCTGTGTGTGGTGTGTGTGTGTGTGTGTGTGTGTCAGACCCACTTTTTTCTCTTTTAAGTGCTGGCATCTCCTTTGCTGGCCCTGGGAGAAATTTGTGCGGGCATTTATATGGAAATGTGCTTTTGAGAAGTTATGAATGCTTGGAAATGTGCACGAGGCCACCAAATCAGCCTGTCGGTGGGTTTTCTCTTGGGAAAATAAAAAACCCAAGCCCATCTGGAATGTGAGGGGTGGTGGTGGCAGGGGGAGGACCCCCTCCTCCATTTTCTAATTCCTCTTGGGTGTTCTTTCTTGCCATTGAAATCCAAGCAGGGGGGGGGGAGATCCCTAGATTTTCTCAATGTTTCTTTTCACTTTCCTTTGTCTCTGTCCATCTTGCAAAAATAATAATAATAATAACCAGGTTACCTCTTGGTGAGTTAGATGTTGATATGTATGTATGTGTGTGTTTGTTACTCTTTCACCTATGGGTAAAAATGCATCATTGTACAAGGCAAATTTGTAGAGGGCCGTACTGGTTTAAAACTATTGGTTTTGATCCAGAATTAAAATATATTCAGGGTTCCTTATGTGATGCTTTTGTTCAGAGGACTGTAACAGAAGTGTTGTGTTCCCCTCACCCAAATGTTCAAACCTGTTTTAGCTTATGCTAGTATGTTGTGCGAACACAGCTGATCTGAGGTTTGATGCACCATTCTTAAGCCATTTTATTTATTTGTTTTTTGTCTTTGCAGGATTCTTGCTGGATTCCTTCTCAAGGGCTGAGACAGCATCTCCTGGATTTCAAAACCTATACCTCTTCTGGCTGGGG